TTATTTCTTTGTGGTGAAATCCAATGGGCAACTTCTCATAATATCACTTTCAAAGCTATCTTGTAAAATATAACTAAAGGGGCTTCAGTGTTCTCTGTTACATCAGAATAAAGTTCTTCTGTTTTATTTTGAAGCCTGGTTTTTTTAAAAAAATGCACAGAAAGGTCAAATCCATTCCAAAGAGAAATCTCATTCCTTAGAAATATCTTGAATCACTTTTATTTTGTCTTTTAAATCCTATCATCTGCCTAGATTCAACTAAAATGTTTCTTTCTCATCGTGTTAGCTAAATGCATCCCTTCAATGGCTGGCCTTTCAAAGGTAAGAAAATCAAAAAAGAAGAAAACTAATTTCAAAGTATGTATTTGGTATTTTTTCTAAAGCTGCATTTTATCATGGAGAGCCGCTATAATTTAGTCTATTAAATCTATAGCAGAGAAGTGGGGCGAGGGGCAAGTGAGGAGGGTTAGCCCTAAAAAGTATATTTTCGGTCCCAGCCTTCAAAGGTAACATTTTCAGTTTGATGGGCTCCTGGTCGAATATATAATTTGGCTCTTTGATTCCTAGCTTCTTTGAAATATACAGGACCGATGTCCACCAGGCCAAAGTATAAACTTACCATTTATCTATTAAAGTTGCATTTAATGAAAACGAAGAGAAATTATTAGCCCGCTCACTCTCTTTCTCATTACAATTCCTAAAGAACTTTGCCAGGCACATTATCTCGTGGACATCATGATCAAATGTTATTGTTTGCTTTATTATCTCAGTTGGATGGTTGGCTAGTCTAGAATGAAATAGGTTGAAGGCAATACTCGAAGCCTAGAAGTCTGAATGAGGTTCCCATTCAAATGATGTTGGGTGTTTGGGGGTGGGGCGGGGTGATTAGTAAACCAACTGAGCTTACACTGCATAGTAAGCGTCTGGATGCAGCACATTTACATCTAACAAGAGACCCCAGAAAACGTGTGTGTGTTTCTTAAACCTTATGTTCCGAACAAAAGGCTATCTCAGCAACAGACAATCAGCACTGCATTGCTCCCTGGGATGCGAGCAACACACTCAACTGCACATTTCATTCTTCCTCAGCTCCCAGCACCACAAAGCCCCTACTCTCTTTCCACTCCTGGGTCCCCAGATTGCTCCCTAGAAGGGGGCTGGGAAAGCAGAAGCCTAACGTCTATGCCTGCGCGCTGGCAGCCCGCACCGGGGGCCCCCAAGGCGCTGCGTTCCCCTGCCGGAGCCGCCTGGGGGTGGTAGGGAGGGGAGCCAGGGAACACGAGTGGACCGCACACCTAGACACACTTATGATTTTATTTATTCACAGGGAGGCGGGGAGGGGACGCTTCCCCGCCCCCCCCCCCCCCCCGAAGTTGTCTCTTCTTGGCAGATAAAGTCATTTTCTGGCTGGTGCCAGGGGCCCAGGGGAGAGTGCGGGTGAGGGCCTGGCTCTCAGGGCCAGATCTTGTCCTGTGCGCGGAGTCGAGGGGGTGGGGAAGGGTGGACCGGCCGCAGCTGTCGAGAGGGCCGGGAGCGGGCAGGGAGGGGCCCGCGGGCTAGAGAGCCGCGCAACCCTGTCCGGGGCCCTCCAAGGCCGGCTGCGGAGTGCAGGGGCCGGCCGGCCACGCGTGGGAAAGAAAGGCCCCCTCCCTTCAAGGCATTGCTCCCCTTTCCCCAGGCTGGACCGCCCGGGAGTGCGGGCAGGGAGACCTCCGGGTGCCCGCGCGCGTAATCATGACCCCAGGGCCCCCTCCGGGCCGCGCGAGCGCGTCGGCGA